TGAAATGAGTAGTTTCGGTCTAACTGGAGGTTGTCCATGTTCCATCTAAAACATGAAGAGAGAAAACAGAGGGTGCATTGTAAAAGGCTGTCCCACAGTTTTCTTAATTTAGCTGTCTCTAAGCCTGTCTCACTCAGTCGCTTATTGCTCCTAGAGAAACTGGATGAAATAGTTAGGCCACAGAGCGTCATTTAGTTTTACCTGTTCAATAACGGTTCGAAAACCCGGTGATGAATAGTCGGTAGGCCGTGAAAAATATGTTTTCCCAACTTTTAAGATTAGGGAAGACGTTTAGTTTATGCCATCAAAGTTTTTGTCTCACCTTGGCCTGTCTTTTGCTTGGCAGCAGCAAGCGACACCCCGCACTTGTTATCCGGATGGACTTTCCAATCCCTTCTATTCTATCCCTTCTATTATTCTACTTCCAATGTTTTCGGCTATTCTCACCGATGACACCATTGAAGAATGTTCATCTTTAACAGAATAACAACAAAAGTGACTTATTCTTGCAGATAAATGCGGACACAGGCTTACAGACACGTTCGTCCACTCACTCCAGTTTAACAACCTGAAATTGTTCTCCTTTGTTGCTTTAAAGTAATCAGCATATTTAAGTAGAATCAGGGTACGAAGGACTTCAAGAAGCGGTTATCCAAAGTTTCTGAATACCGCAATATTTCACAAGAATGAGGTTATGTTCGAATTTTCGAGAAAAAAGAATATAGAGCTACTGTAAAACGCTATGTAGAGTAAAACTTAATTCTGGTACACAAAGAGTAGGAACACGCATGCAACACACATATATAAGTATATATATATTATGTCCAGAATTTTGGCGTGTCCCTGAACTGCTCCTCGGAATCATACAAAATAACTAGCTTTACACGGATTCACATCCTAATGACACTGTAGATAGGAAGACTTTTGTTTCGTCGCAATAACAGATTAGGTATTTCTATGTATGATGACAACTGATCTCAACCGTTTGTTGTCATTTGAGGCTGTGAAGTCGGTCACAGTTTGAAACCGGTAAAAATGGCAGTTTTGATGTGCCCTTTGGTCTACTAATTAGTCAGACATTCAGACAACAGCAAGTAGCCAGATGGTGACAAACGACAAAAAGAAGACATGAGGCAAGTGCATCGCCAATATGAGTCACCTGTGAGTGCTTTGGTCACTAACGTTAGTCAAATGCTGTAACAGCTTTTGGGCAACCCATTCACCATCCTCTTCAAGACTGCAGTAGCACTTGAGATTACAGAAGTTGGTCTGTTGTCTTTCACTCTTTTATGCAAACCTGATAATCGCACCTTCCCTTTCTCTTTCTTAGAGTGAGATAGTATAGGAATCGCGAAGTGAAGACGTCTTAGATTTCTTTCTATGCCTTCAGCACTCATTACCGGATCCTATCTAACTTAATCAACCTGAACTGTCATCATTGAGAGGTTAATTGAATTCAGAGTTTAACATAGTGGGCCCAAAATTCCCATTTGCTGGCTCACCTCCTCTTATCCAGTTAGTGTTGCTCTGCAACCGTTTTGCTTTCTTGCCGCCCGCCTCACCAGGTGATAAACTGGTGACTAGGACCCCGGTGTCTGCGAGAATTAGGAGATTATGGCTGTCTCGTGCAACGACACGGCACCTTTTCATTTTGTTGTAGTCAACTAGTTCATGTTCCCTAATACGTTCTACAATTTCGCGTTAAACTGAATACATATGGCTAAGTCTCGTGAGACATGCGAATGAATCGGTAGGCCTGCCGTTGCCGCATTTCGTTTGTTACTGGCATCAGAATCTAATGTGTGGTTATCTAAACCCCAAGCAAGCGTGCCCATGAACAACTTTCCTTGTGCATTCGTGTGTCGATAGTACTTAGCATCAGGCCGACAAACACACTTAATCTGCCTACATTGTCACTACTGTAAGGACAACAAGTGGGACCATCAACAACTTATTCTCGGTATCTCCATCTGCAACAGAACACAAAACCTCGGCAGCGATGCTCATAGCACAGACATTGGTATGGCTAGCAATTTGGTGGTTATAAAACTGGTAATTTGTTCCCTCCTAACATATGTCAGGATGGGTACACTGCTACTGCTTCAGCAATGTTCCCTGGCAAAATTATGAATTCACGAGGAGGCATTCATACAAGCTGTTTCGGTATACACATGTTCGCGTCGTCAGAAACTCTTGTAACCAACAACAATCTCGGAGACACGCTGCCTAGTAAGATCTTGACAGTGATCACTCAAGCCGTAAGTTAGACTTGTAAGGACGCACCAGAAGTTACGAAGTATCCCGTAGATTCAGACGGGTAGCAGAATTTTTGCAACCCAAAGTGCTAGGGGAAAACAAATAACATGAGTTCTGATTTGCAACCGCTTGTTATCATTGATAATACTTTATTTCCTGAGTGAGAAACAACCCTTTATCATTAAAATGAACTTACCTCAGCGAACTGAAAGACGATGGAAACCGGAGTGTAAAGGGGGCCGAACGAGACACATGTTAGGAACGAAAGGGACATCGGGGAGGACGTGATCACATTGCCCAGTATGCCAGCTTCTAGTCTCTGTTTGACAAAGAAGAATACGGTGGGGACATACGCAAAGAATATTGCTAACCTCTCGGGGTACCACACATGCCTGCCTATATATGGCGGCTATCAGGCCGCTGAAAAGGCTCTAGGAACTGAACGTTTTATTTCTCCGTGTCTTCAGGCGGACCAAACCAACATGAAGAGGTAGTCCTCCTAAGTCGCCCATGTGTGGTTTGTACACACCACCCGAAGATCAGTTATGATGCAGTGTGGCTAATTAGAGAGAAGAAAAGGAACAACTGACCTTATGACCAAGATAAGACCACAACTTTTGCGAAGAAAGTATCAGATACGGTAGGGAAAGACACATATCGAATGGCACTTTCCTCATGCACACCAGTGGAGGCGGTTAGCGATCGGAACCAGATTAGGCAACCTACTAGCTTGAAATGTTACAAGATTAACAAAACCAGTACACTTCCAGCACGTCCTAATCCTAGCCTGACCGACTTTTGCTCGCAACCCACAAGCAGTGTTCACGAATGCACTGAAAGACACTTATCTCAGGAAAAATGAAACAAATAGTGAGATTAGGTACGGGGAATTAAGCATGGGTAGCAAATTCCGCCTGAAACGTCATCTGGTAAGCAGTATTTTTCCGTCATGTGTTGAATTAAATAAACGCGCTTAGTAAGGAAATATACCCCACGACAAAGAGGAAATTCTATTCCGTCGACCACGACTCTAAAATTGGAGGTCGGTCGCCGTAAATCAGTACTAGTGTGTGACCAAAGGCACCAATTTGACTGCCCCCCGTGGAAGGGTTTCCTGATTGGCCGAGAGTGTACTATGGAGAAGTTGAGAAGAGAGAGAAACGAAATATATCGTGCAGCTAGTGGGCAAACCCTGGCCTGAACAACTCCGAAAAAGTAATCCTTTTTCCTAACTACTGTTAGCAAAGGGCTGGCTTGATAACGGTACAAAAGATTGCTTACCACGTGACTCACCCTCACAAGCAATTACCACTAATCTAGACTCGGCAGCCATGCAGGAGCACTGCAAGATAATAAAGTCGGGAGGGCAACATCAAAGTCAGAACCAACTCTTTTTCGCCAGCAGTACACACCTACCAAAACTTTTAGTCAAGGGTAACAATAATGGCCCCATGGTGAAGTCATTCAATCCACCATGAAAAAATGCGTAGACGAGCGTAAAATATCGGTCTTAAGTTCACATCAATAAATTCCATTGCTATACCCGGATATCCCCTTTCCCCGATTCCGCACTGAACGTGATTAGTTCATGCTCACTTCAAGCGGTTGTCTTATTTATACCCATCTTAGCAGCCTCAGAATTTCCATACAGACAGAAGTGCTGTGGAGACCACCGATTGTCCCAGCAACTCCATAACTTTATTTGTCCAGTCTAACATCTACGAAAAGAAGAAACCTAGTAACAGCCAACTCACCGAAAACCAAAAGCAAGGAAGCCAAAGGTGCTTCTGCACCCACCGAAACTTTAAAAAAGAAGAAGTGGTACGTACCCCGTTGACGTAAATGCATAAGCTCTAAAAGTGCCAGTTTGTTATAGTCGTTTGAAAATACTGGCTGTTGCATAGGTCGTAATTATAATATGCACTTTGAGTTTGACAACATAGATCTTATGGCTTAGTCGCTGGCTATTCTTAATATGGGATACCTGTTTGACGAAAGGACGAAAGCATGAACAAGCTGAAGTTATGTTGCTGCACTAATTTATCGACCGTCCTGTTGACCTCACTCACGAACTTGTAATAAGGATATTACTTATCAAAATGGAAATTGAAATGATTTTAATTCATTCAGTATTCATTGTTCTAAGACAAGGTCGAAAAATTACAAACTGAGCCTAGAACGCACATAGAAGCGTTCGACAAATCTGTTCGAGTACTTAGGTCGAAAACATACGGAGAACGACTGGCTGCGATGGATCTGTACACTCTGGAACGCAGAAGGCTAGCAGGAGGCTTGATAATGACTTACAACGTTCTCAGAACGCCTGGCCACCCACTCCGTCACTTATTAAATCATAGCTGTAGCCTTAATCTTAGAGGTCATGCACAGAAACTAAGCCTGGAACATAGCAGGTTAGATGTCAGGCACAACTTTTATTCCCTAAGAGTTGTTAAACTCTGTAATGCCCTTCCTGAACACACGATCCAGGCTACTTCGGCAGAATCATTTAAATGCCGACTGGATACCCACTTGACGTGTGTCTGAGATCTGCCCAGAACTAATTGAATTTTCACATTTTAACCGCCACTTTCTTCTCTTTCTTTATTTGTACACAGGTTAACAAACACATTCAGTAGTGATCCACGAAGTTTAGATTCAGAATTCAGTTAAGTGAAAGCTTCTTCCATCCCGTCAACAACCATTTGTACTACTTTGCACATTTAGCCTGCATTCGTCGGTTTCAGGGACAGTTGATGACCTTGCACCAATTTAAGAGATGGCGGTACTGGTGGAACTTCTTTAGGATGTTTTGTACTTGACTTGTATTGTGAAGAAAAGCCGAGGACATGTATGAACTTTATAAAGCTCTGTAAAATGAAACACTACAATTTCTGCCTCTTCCACTGTGTACAGAAAAACTTGGTAGCCCAATCTGGAGATCCTAGCGGCACTGGTCATGGCGGTTGGTCATATTTCAGGCATTTATACGGTGAGCAGGCAAAATATTTTGATGCTGAAAAGAAACCGAAAATATCGCACTCGCATAAAGGTCTGGTTTCCATGGTGGACAATGGTGCTGGGCAACATGGTTCTCAGTTTTTCATAACATTGGCAGATGATCTCAACTACTTGGATGACAACCATACAGTTTTTGGATATGTATGTTCAGATGATTTAAATCAGAAAGTAATTTTGCTTAGGTCGCTGAAGGTATGGGTTTTGTTGATAAAATTAATGAGGTGTATTGTGACAAAGACGGACGACCCTACCGAAATATTAGGATACACCATACGTTTGTCCTCGATGATCCATTTGTTGATCCAAAAAGAATAGAATATCCTAAGTCACCACCGTCAATACGGGTTTCAAAGGTAAGTGATGTTTCGTGATCCGTTCAGTATTTTGAATGGTGTAAGTGAAAAACTTGGGCACTGTGGTAGAATGTAGTTCCATATTAGATTTGTTTATTTGATATAAAGCGCACAGTGATACAGTATTATTTACTTGATTACGTTTCGAGCATAAATTATTGCTCATAATCATATCAATGTAATCACACTTCTTTCGACATCTGATTTTATAGTCCTGTCACCTGATCTCTCTTTGTTTTTTTGTTTTTTGATTGGTAGTAAAGTTTTCCATATCTCTGGTATAGGTGTTGCGTCATTCCTATCACATGTGTTGGGTGTGAATTCGATGAACAAAGATTCAGTAATTAATCTCTCTCTCCACCTAGCTATATTAGACTTAAGTACAGTGGTTTTGTCCCATCCTATTGTGTGGTTGTGTGTTAATGAATGTAATGCAATAGCAGATATATTTATGGATAGTTGGGAAGATATGGCTTTACGAACATATAATCCGACACCTAAGATATGGTGGCGATATGTAGATGACACATTTACAGTGTTGAAATCGGAACATATCGACAGTTTCTTGACACACATAAACTCAGTAGTTAACGCAATCCAATTCACCTACGAAGTAGAAAATGAACAAGGAGAATTACCTATGTTGGATTGCAGAATAAAACGAAGGATAGATGGTGGTTTAGATACTACCGTCTACAGAAAACCAACACATTCTAACAGGTATCTAGACTTCAAGTCATCTCATCCAGTGTCAGTTAAAGCGGGTTTAGTCAAATGTCTAAATAACAGAGCTGAGAAACTCACTAGTCATTGTAAGGACTTAAATAAGGAATTGAAACACATAAAAGAAGCGTTAATAACTAATAATTATCCCCATCATTTTATTAAGAAATTCACACGGACGCATAAGAAGCAAAATAATAACACTAATACAAATACAAATAATAGTGACAACATAAGTAGAAAGGAAATCAGCACCTCTATTGTGATACCATACAAGGAAGGAACATCAGAAACCATACGTAGGATTCTCAACAAGGTTGGAATTAGGGTGGCATTTAAACCAACAAACTCACTTAGAGGTAAGCTTTGTCGGCTAAAAGATCCGATAGAACCAATTAAGCAAAATAATATAATCTACCAAATTCCATGTAATGACTGTGAAGTCAAATACATAGGTCAAACTAGCCGGTCGGGGTCAGTTAGATTAACAGAACATAGGAATTTAGCTAAACATAGAACGACAGACCCCAATAAGATCAATAACCTAGAAAAACACTCAGCCATTGCATTACATTCATTAACACACAACCACACAATAGGATGGGACAAAACCACTGTACTTAAGTCTAATATAGCTAGGTGGAGAGAGAGATTAATTACTGAATCTTTGTTCATCGAATCCACACCCAACACATGTAATAGGAATGACGCAACACCTATACCAGAGATATGGAAAACTTTACTACCAATCAAAAAACAAAAAAACAAAGAGAGATCAGGTGACAGGACTATAAAATCAGATGTCGAAAGAAGTGTGATTACATTGATATGATTATGAGCAATAATTTATGCTCGAAACGTAATCAAGTAAATAATACTGTATCACTGTGCGCTTTATTTTGAATGGTGATTGTAATCCTTCAGTTTTTATTCGTGATCTTCAACCGATCGTTCGTGGTTTAGAAACATACTCCAGTCACTCTGGAAGCATGATATCCATGCACTGCCCAGTTTATTAGGAGCTCAGGGTTTCACTAATGTGATACTTATTATGGTTTGTGTTTTGCTGTTTACACACTATTAAGACAACAATCATACAGACCTGATGCTGCAATTCGCAGCAAATATGAATAGGAAATGAAGCACTACTTCCCATTTTGGGTCATCGGTTTTAGTAAATAGTATAGTTCCTAATCTTTGCATCTTAGTCACACAAAGGTGGGTGGTATCAAAGGAAAAAATTCCGTTAAAATCGTCTTACTGTGGAAATGTACAGGAAATAAGAACATCTATTCAGTAGTGCACTATTCAGATCAGCTCTTGCTAAGCGTATATATATATATATATATATATATATATATATATATATATATATATATATATATATATATATATACCCTTTGCTGTTTCGATCCTGACTGTGTGCTTTTATGTACGTATTCGAAAACAGACGAACTAAAATCTCAAACCTTCAGAAGGGTCGCGCTTATTTATCCTCAGGTAAATATTCCTCGGCTTATGCTGTCACGTACCGTTATTACTAATCGAATTTTCTTCCAGATACCTGGAGGGAAAATATCCTGCCACCCTCACAACTCTATCAGCACCTAAGTTCTTTCAGATCGCTGTCCATCTTCTACATCACCTAATATTCCTTCACATCTCAGTCAATATTCCTACATCCTGTTTAATGTTTCCCAGTACTGCTACTCCTGATAAGGATTCAGGTTCGCGGAAGAAAATCCCCAATCTCCTGAAACCACTCCATACCACATATTGGAGCGTTCCATGTCTGCACCCTCCACCAAATCGGACAGTAAAATTCGTTAGGCAGAACTCTGTTATCTTGGACCATGGACGTTCATCGTGTTTGTGAGACACGCAAACAGAAACCAAGTGCGATAATTCCGATGACCTTATATAGCCAATGTGGTGAACCAGATAAACTCTTCAAAGATGAGATTTAGGGGATTCAGTAGCTGGTTCCCACGATACTTCAGGTATAAGTCTAAGCATTAGGCTGTAAGGCAAAAAGCACACCACCCAACTGGGTCCCACTTAAGTCGTCTAGTGGCTGTTTGACTGGACGATGTAGTGAAGACTCATATGAATGGTGAAGCTCGCAGTTGTCTCCTAGTAATCTCGGCCTAGTCACCCCGCTGACTGCATTTCGGAAAAGTGAAGGATGAGTTCTACCAAAAACTGTTTGGCCATCAACAAGGCGTTCAGATGTGGTTGCTGTAGCACGCGATCCCATTGCTCAAGCAGGTAAGCTAGGTCAACCAGAATGACACTTAGGCAGTGCCATCACAATCCCAACCGAAAGATCAGATGACGGCGATCACCTGCTACAGTGTTGGTTAAAAAGCCATTTCTTTCTCGCCAGCACAAACTTCAGACATAAGCAGAGACATTATCTGACACAGTGTCCACTTAGCCCAGCTCACGCTTTGGTATGTGCGTGTGCATGTCTACGTCTAAACGGACGTAGTAAAATTTAGCAACAAAACTATTCGTAGTACAGCTCAAAATGAGAGCACTAAGTCTACTTTCAGCAAGAAACTGACTAGACGGCTATGGAAACAGGACAACATAGATCATATGGAGGTATCTTTGCACTATCTCTGGTCTGCTGTACAGATTGTATTGAGGGCCGTGACTAACTCAGAAAGAGGTTAGTTACCGCCAATGGATCTCCGCAGTTTCTTGTGAATTAATTAGTGTGGGAACGCATTTCTGCAGGCTGAGTACAGTGACCAGCGGATGGGACCCCAGTGTAGACTGACGAGGACTTTACTCAATGACCATGAGCATGGATGGGTAGTGAAGCGTAACCAGATAGAAGAGGGCGTTGCGATAAGTAATAAGAATCAGTGACTCACATATGAAGGCAATGAGGGCAAAACGCTCATTAGTTAGACTATAGTGGAGAAGGATACGCCAGTGAATCGCTCGCGGATGAGGCAACTGGGACGATGGGCTTAACACTTCGAGGAGCAGTTCAACTGGTCTACAGCTATTATTCTCTAACCCCCTATCCAGTCAGATCCGCAGTAGAACACTTAGATAAGACTTCCAACACTCAGAAGTTGGAAAAGTTGTTAATAGTCGGAAATAAGGGAGGGGAGTAGTACCAGATAGGATAATGCCGGAGGTATTTGAAGACATTGGTTGTGTAACGTCAAGTTAACTGGAATGTTAGCTAGCACATAGCAATCAGATAGGACCCCCTCTGGCTGCTGTCAGTCGTTAAAAGCAGAGAAATTCTCCTGCCATAACTGCAGAGAAATCAACTTAAGTATGTGTTGTCTGAGATTCTAGATTCTGTATTTATTAGACGTCTTAACTGAGGTTGACTCGGAAAACCTGAGAAAACCAGGCAACTTTCACACGTCGTGCGTCTGATAAGTGCATATTTGGCGTTTGACAAGTTTTCGTACACAAATACACTTAACTGTTCATGAACTGTATTTCTTGTTCTTCAGGTGTGTAACTCTGTTTACTGAAGATTCTTGTCAGGTAGATAAATAAGAAATAAGATGTAAAGAAGAGATTTTTTATACTGTGCAGTGGTCCAAGTTGTCACACGTCATATATGTACATTAAGCGAAAATGCACTAAGATGAAAGATAAAATAATTAAGCAGTCAAAGGTGGTAGAAAGTCGTCACACGAGATTAAGATGAAGATAATGTGTGGCTACATCTACGCCATTGAGATCTATTCTAAACCGTACCGACTACACTCTCCAACGGCCAGTTTCTGTCGTCACATGGACCCAAACCGGGAAGTACATTTCTCTACACCGCTCAGAGCAACTGTCAAAGACTTCATGAACTGATGCTATGTCTTACTCATTTTAGCCGCTTCTAAACTTGGTGCATGAACCTACTTCAGCTTACACTATGCGATGAGGCAGAAAGTAACTAGGCATGCGTAACATGTCCCATCCACCTCAGTCGATGTTCACAAGCTCATCAACCGATTCTCCTCTTCGACTTAAAACTTTGCTCTTGACTTCTACATTACTGACGTGATAGTACTACGACATAGCTTATACTATGAAGGTGATGGTAGTCGAGTACTCTGGATCTTTTCGTGTCCTTTACTCTCAGTTATCATGTTCTGCAGCCATAAAGTACAACATCGAACTAAATAGCAGTACACTCGCCTCTCAGTAGGTATTAGATATCATGGTGGCGCCTTAAATACCACAATTTAGCGGAAATCAAGGGAGCTTTTTGTATCCGTGTAGAGATTTTTTCTATCACTAATCCA